TTCAAGAAGGACATGCCCGCTCTTGAGGCGCCTGAGGAGGATCTGGCCCAGACTGAGGAAGTCGACGTTGTCGATTCTGAGGAGGCTCCCCAGGAGGAGGACGACTTCGCCACTGAGGACATGCCGGAGTTCGACGGAGAGCCCATGATGCTCGACGAGGACTACTTCCAGCCTCAGGCTCAGAGCACCCTGGCCCCTCAGCCCGCGTTCAACGTGCCCACTGGTATCTTTGGCCTTCGCCAGAAGGACATGGACCCTTACCATAGCATGGACTCGGACTCAGACGACGAGCTCGCCAACAGTCCTCGTGTCTCCGCAGTCGAGAAGTTTGTCCCTCTTACCCCCACTCCCAAGGCTGCTCGCCGAAGCAACGTCATGCCGAGAGTCTCCAATGTTGGTTTCACTCCTCTGGCCCAGAAGCTGAACGCTTGGTCCGCTGGAAGCCCTACCAAGGACTCCAAGACGCCCGTTGCCAAGACTCCCCAGGCTTCGGCGGACTCTGCTCCCGTCTCTGGCACTCCCCGTGCGTACGACTCTCCCCTCAGAAGCACCTACTTCGAGGATGAGATGACTGTTCGTGCCGACATGGAGGCGCAGAACGAGATTGAGGCTGCCATTGAGGCTGAGATCTCTGCCGCCGGCGAGGAGATCGAGTTCGACGATCTCATGGTTACCGACGAGGACATGGCTCTCGCCGCCGAGGCGAATGAGATGTCTCTGATGGAGCCGGGGCAGCTGGATGACATCGTCAACACTTCCAACAGCTTCGAGGACACCCTTTCTGAGGCGAGCCAGGAGTATGGCGACGAAAACGAGATGCCTGTTGATCCTGCCATGCTGAACGGAGCCTCCATTCCGCCAACGACCCCCAACAGAATGATCAACCGCGAATTCCACACCGTCTCCAAGGTCCCTCTCAAGGCCGCTGACGAGTCGACTCCCCGACCCAAGAAGAAGCGCGCTGCCAGCATCTCCCGACTCCCGGCCAGTCGCCCGACTCAAAATCTTAACAGGAGCGCCACTGTCATTTCCTACTCGCCCGGCAAGAACAAGTCTGAGTCACAGGAGACAGCTGAGCCTGAGTCGGCGCCTGTGACTCCGGCGAAGTCTGACATCTGGTCCTCGCTTGGAACCCCGGCTCGCACTCCTCATCGCAACCTCAGCCCTGGTCTGCTCCGCGGCGCAGTTGTCTTCGTTGACGTTCACACAACCGAGGGCGCGGATGCGAGCAGCATCTTCGTCGAGCTCCTGACCCAAATGGGAGCTCGCTGCGTCAAGACTTGGGCGTGGAACCCGAATGCGGCCGACAACTCTGACATGTCCAAGGTCGGCATCACCCATGTAGTCTTCAAGGACGGTGGCAAGCGTACCATGGAGAAGGTCAGGGAGACGAACGGCATTGTTCACTGTGTTGGTGTGTCCTGGGTGCTCGAGTAAGTTGTTCCTCATGGTTCTGCATGTGAATAATTACTAACAAGATCACAGCTGTGAGCGTAAGAATGAGTGGCTTCCTGAGGATGAATACTCCATCGACACTTCTCTGGTTCCCCGCGGAGGCGCCCGTCGCAGGAAGAGCATGGAGCCCACGGCCCTCGCAAACCAGAACGGCATGCTTGTTCCTTCACCTGTCAAGGGTGGCCGCGACAACAAGACCGCGCCCAACACACCCATGAACCGACGTGACAGCACCGTCTGGATGCACACTCCTTCGGACGAGGCGGACGATGAGGAGGTCGATTGGGAGGGACTCATGTCCCCTGTTCCCGTGACTCCTGCCCCGGATGCTCTCGCCCGCTACGCGGCAAATGTCACCCCCGAGACACCCGGTGCCACTGACTACGACTCGTCTCCCACCAAGCTGCTGATGCAGACATGCCCTCCCAAGAACAACGCTTTCGCCGAGATGGGCGATGGCATTCTCAAGAGGGAGAAGGACGAGACCGTGATGCAGCGCTTGATGGCCGCCCGCAGGAAGAGTCTGCAGTTTGCTCCCAAGATCGGAAGCCCGTTGGCTAAGGCTTGGCGATGAACATTTTGATATTTTGCGAATGTCTTTTTGGTCATGATACTGACCGCCTGTTGTGCGACGGAACTTGCTTTGAAATATCATAGACGGCGTTTGGTGGATATGGATACGGACACGGGGGTACGGGAATGGTGTTCAGGACTATCGGATTGGCTTGTACATCACAATAAACGCGATCGCAGACGCATCGCCTGTTCAGAACAAACATGTTTGGAATTGTCACCATCAATGAGCTTGATCCACGTTAGGGAGTCGTTGCTTGTCAGACGTGAGAGCTACCCTGGCCCCCGTCCCGAATCTGGCAAGGTGACGCATGTCGGCCGCGCGTTCTTTTGATTGGACCAGCCTTGTCCGGAATCTTGACTCGAGCCATGATTGATAACAGATCCGTGTTCGACACACTCGATACCGCAACTCCGAGCGTCCGTGTGGCGAATATGTGATTTTTCCTCATTGCTCATACTTGCATTCTTGATCAATAGAGCTCACGTCAAGATGATATTGAAGGGAATTTTATGGAGCTGGGCGCTGCTGGCGCCATGTGTTGTCGCGGCGCAGCAGAAGCCGCTCGGCGCGGGAATACCGAAACATGAACATCAGCAGCAGGCTTCGTGGAGACGGGACCTCAATTTCTCATCGCCGGCGCCGCATTTATTCGCGTCCGCGTACGGGCTGCTCCAGCAGTGGAGCAACACCGTGTTTCCCAATGGCCACACGATGGCGGCGGTGGAGATTCCGGCGTTCACGCTGCTGTATCACGGGCGGATGGACGAGGAGGACGCGCCGAGTCCGGAGTGGCTTGCCTTTGATATGTGAGTCTTTGTGTGAATACCCGTTTGAGAGAATGGCGCACGTATCACGAGAGGTTGTCTGACGCCGGACACAGAGAGATGGCCTACGGGATCATGGGCTCAACCCGCCAGAGCTTCATGCTGAGCTACCAGACGACGCGGCCCGTCAAGGCGCTCTACTTTGACGGGGAGTCTGCGGCGCTGATGGGGCTCGGGCAGCTGGACACGCAGATGCTGCACCTGTACGGCAACGTGACCGGTCCGGATAGCGGTGGTGGGATGTGGAGGGGCCTGGAGCCGGAGTACGAGCGGGCGATGGGGCTGTGCGACTGGCTTGCGGAGCGGGGGCTCGGGGGTGTCGGCGGGTTTGAGGGGGTGGTGAGGATGAATGCGGGGTTTGAGGTTATCTGGTGCGATTTCGGGAGCGGGAGTTTGAGGTTGGTTAGTAGGGGGAACGTGACGGCGCCGCAAATGCGGGAGGTTAAAACGGCAGCGGTGGATAGGGAGGAGGAAGAAGGGGGTGAGGTGAAGGGGAGGGGGAGCGTGCCGACGTCGGTGTACCCGCTCCCGCCGCAGCCTACGAGGACGGATCGGCCTGTGAGCCCAACGAAGCCTGCTGTGCCGCCGAACTGGCGCGGGATTATGGGTCCCTCCGACCGGGAGCCGTTCCTGCAGAGCCAGGGGTGGGGATGGTTTTCTTCGGGGACGTGGCATTATGGCGGCAGCGGGATGGGGCCTGGGAGGGGAGAGACCAGAGCGAAGGTTACGGCGTGCGGGATCGCGAGCTGGTATTCGGGCAGGTTCTGGGGGTCGCTTGTGGAGGAAGAGGGGAAGAGACTGAATCTGACGCGGGATGGGTTCTGGAGCGGGCTGGATGGGGGGAACAGGAGCGTTGCGATGGATGAGCTTGGGAGGAGGAGGAGGCTGCATCATCTCGAGGGCGTGAGTGAGCAAGCGGCGGCGCGAATGAGAGGGGAGACGGAGGCTATGTTGAGGGATGTGCTGGAGGGGGGGAGGTGTAGTGGCATGGTCTGGGTAGATGTGTTTGCGGAGATTGTGCAGAGGAACGCTGGGCATCTGATGGCGCTTGAGAGGGCGGCGAAGTGGGCGGGAGATGAGGGAAATATCACCGAGGTGAAGGAGTGGTTGTACAAGTTGAGGGGCCGGAGCCACATGTTTCTGGTGTCGTTCCTGGAGTACCCGAACGAGATTGGCAGGGGAACGTGGGACGTTCAGGGGCCGCTCTTCGGGGAGACGTACTCCAGATGTCGGTACCGGTACACGAGGCTGCTGGTTGATATTCCCATGAAGCCGTGGGAGACGGACCTCAAAGACGCTGTCGAGGAGGTCATGGGCGGGATATGTGCTGTGTTGCTGGAAGTCGGATTCGAGGTCGAGAGGGCTTGGTACGCGCTGGAGGAGGGTGCCGGCGCGAGCTTGGTGAAGCTGGCAGAGAGATGGGAGGATAGTGTTCGGGGTCTGAGGGCCTGGGTCGGATGGGAGGGAGAATTCATCAGGTGCGGCAAGGTTTGCGAGTGGGATGAGCGGTGTTACATCCCCATGTGGCCGCTTTTGAAGTCGGTATGGGGCGGCAGACGGCCGAGGCCTCCGCCTAGGGACGGGCCTGGGAATGGAACGGAGCCGAGGCCGGGGCCGCCTCCGGGCAAAGGACGCGGGCCGGGATATGGAGGTGGACACAGGGGCCCGGGCTATGGGATGCCGGGGCGAGGGCCCTCTTGGATGGGCGACGAGACTGACTTGTGGGAGCCCAAATGTGTGAAGATGGACGACATCATGCCCAGGCCGAGGGCAGACTAGACTGTGGTCACTGGTTCATTTCAGAAAGATTGATTTCCTCCTTCGTTTGGTATAGAATCATGGCGTGGGCTGTCGATTGTACGTCTACCTCGAGAACAAAACAACGAGGTCTGCCAGAATTTCGAGGGCATTGCAGACGAGGCGACTCTAAACATCTAAATATCCTTCACTTGGTAGCGAGCATGTTTCATTTTATGTAAATTCAAGCTTGACTTTTTGGTCATCTGATCTGGTCCGAGGTTAGCTTGCCGCTGCAAGTGACGAAGCCAAGATTGACGTACCAAGGTATAACACGAATAATCTTGTGTCTCAATCTAGACTTTCAACTCTATAGCCTTGCCGATATTCCGTCCCAATTCCTCATTTCATGCGCTAATGTACGCCTTCATCGCCTTGACCGCATCGCCGTCGTTGGCCTTCAGCAGCTCTGTCGCCTTGGCCTTGGGGAGTTCCAGCTCGTCAACCTGCAATTTGATTCGTTAGAAAAATTCAATCTTATCTTATCCCGAATTTCCCCCCTCGGGAATGCGGCTCTGTCTGCAAAGGTAGATCTAGAGGGCTACTGACCAGCAGCGTCACGTCGGCAGCGTCGACCTTGACGTTCTTGACCTCCTTCTTGGCGGCCGTGGCACCTCCCAGGCCCCTGATGGCCTTCTGCGCAGCCTCGGCGTCGACCTTGTCCTCGGAAGCGTCGTCGCCGCGGGCGTCGAGGCTCGCGAGCGCGGAAGCGGCCTTGCGGTCCTCGGCGGACTTGGCGGGCTGGACCTCCTCCTCGACGTCACCGCCGGTGGCGCCCTCGACAACGGCAGGGGGCTGCTTCTCGGACATGTTTGTAGCTATTCGGGTAATCGCTCGGTCGTCGGGTGTGCGAGGCCGTGGGGTCGGTTGGTGTGCAGTCTGATGTAGCTGTGAGGTTCGCAATCGTGGAGGCACGTCCAGCAGCAGCAGCAAGTGCGAAGCTGACCTGAGTGCACAGGGCAGGCAGTTTGGAATTTGTGGTGGGGCAGTTCGAGGTGGGGGATGTGACGGGGGGAGGGGCACCACAGAGGGGGAAGCTTTGGCGTAGGTGTCGCCCTCACCGACGGTGAGCCATCTGAGAAGGTCCGGTAGGCTTCGGCACAGCGTTGCCCTGGGGAAATCGCAAGGTGGTGCAACTTTAAGCACTAACTTGCTAGGTTCCGCGGGCTGGACGGATGCTCTGGTTCCTGGTCTATTTTTGCATGGCGTAAATTGCCTGCCGCCATTGGCCAATTTGACTTCCGCACCGTTGCATGTTCGATTTTTCTCCCCTGTGCTGCCCATTGAGCCACATTGTTCATGTCCCTGCATTCTGCCCATTGAATAAGACTGACTCACTATGCGGATGGCTCCTGCTCTCAAAAGAGTCATTCCGTCTTTGCATTGAGCTGCTTCACTTCTCTGACAGCTCTACAACTCCTTCCTCCCCCTCAATCGACTCCTTCTTCTGTCGTTGCACCTCCTCTTAGCAAACGCCGTCTTCCTCAGAGATCCTCCAAAACACCGCCATGTCCTCCACAACCTGGTCGCCTGATTCCTGGCGGTCAAAACCCATCAAACAGTCACCCGCATACCCAGACGAGGCGGCGCTCCAGAAGTCGGTCAAGGAACTCGGCCGTCTGCCTCCCATTGTTCACCCCAAGGAAATCGTCGCCCTGAAGCAGCACCTCCGCGATGTGGCTCTGGGTGAGGCCTTCCTGCTGCAGGGCGGCGACTGCGCCGAGCTCTTCGACTACTGTGAGCAAAACACCATCGAGTCGAAGATTAAGCTCCTGCTGCAGATGAGTCTGGTCCTCATTTGGGGTGCCGACAAGCGCGTCGTCCGTATTGGGCGCATGGCTGGCCAGTATGCGAAGCCCAGGTCTAGTCCGACTGAGATGGTGGACGGTGTGGAGCTGCCGTCTTTCCGGGGCGATATTCTCAACGGCTTCCACGTCGATGAGCGGACCATTGACCCTCAAAGACTGGTCAAGTGAGTCGCCCTCATTATAAAAGCTTCAAGTAACCTAAGCTAACAAAAATAGGGCTTACCAGTACTCATCAGCAACCCTCAACTACATCAGAGCATCTCTCTCATCCGGCATAGCCGATCTCCACAGACCGCTCGACTGGGGCCTCGGTCACGTCCGGGACCCGGAGCTCAAGAGGAAGTACTCGGAAGCCGTCCTCTCCCTGACCGACATGCTCCGCTTCCTCCACACAATCGGCGCCGACAAGAGCGACAAGCTCGACACCGTCGACCTCTTCACCAGCCACGAGGGCTTGCTTCTCGAATACGAGCAGCCGCTGACCCGCCTGCTGGAGACGCCGGCCCCGCGCCCCACACTCAACGGCGGTGGTGCTGCCGCCGAGACCAAGAAGGAGTACTACGACACCTCGGCGCACTTCCTCTGGATCGGCGACCGCACCCGTCAGATCGACGGCGCGCATGTCGAGTTCTTCAGGGGCATCGCGAACCCCATCGGCATTAAGGTCGGCCCCACCACGCCCACCGACGACTTGCTCGCTCTGCTCCGCACCCTCAACCCGGACAAGGAGCCGGGCAAGATCACCCTCATCACTCGTTACGGCGCCGCCAAGGTGCGCTCACTGCTGCCGGCGCACATCAGGGCCGTCGAGGACAGCGAGTACCGCCGCTGCGTTGTCTGGCAGTGCGACCCCATGCACGGCAACACGGTCTCGACCGGGGGCGGCATCAAGACACGTCGGTTCCGGGACATTTTTGAGGAGCTTCAGGAGACGCTACGGATTCACAAGGAGCAGGGAAGTTACCTCGGTGGTGTGCATTTGGAGTTGACTGGCGATGCAGTCACGGAGTGTCTGGGTGGCAGCGAGGGACTGGACGAGGATGACTTGTCGACAAACTACACCAGTTTCTGCGACCCGAGACTGAACGAGAAGCAGGCGCTTGAGTTGGCGTTCTTGATCGCGGACCATTACAGAAACGAGAGAAGACCAGTTGTTTAGACGGGGGTTACGCATGGTTGAAGGGTGGATGCATGCCGGGCATACTGTGATCACTAAAAGCAATTCTTTACATGAAATTCAGCAGGTTTATGGTTATTGATATCTCTTTTACTTGAACTCGTACATCGTGGTAACAAATGCAAACTCACAACACGGCCGGAGTGCTCAGACGGACAAGATGCACATCATCAGCGTCGTCCGTGCCCCGGAAAGGCCTGCCTATTACTGCAGACACCAAACACCCGTCAACCGAACCCGCACCGACAGTTCAGGGCGCAGAGGACCGAAGAAGTGGGCCCCAACACTGAGCCCGCGCCGCTAAACCGTGGCCCAACAGGGAAGTTTCAAACGGATATCAGCGGGCCAACAGGTGAGGTGAGATAAGCCAGTGCGCCCTGCGCTCCTTTCCCCAGTTCCGATAAGGCGAGCGGGGCTTCCCCGCGGCTCCGACTAGAACCCCCCGTGACCGGTGTAAGTAGTACTGTAGTCCCCTTCCTCCCTTGAGGTGTCCCAATGCAATCCTCACCTTACACACACCATCTGTCGTAGCTCAAGCTATCCTCGTCTCATCTCACTCGGGAGCTAATACCAACTTCACCTCAACCTAGTGATCACCTACTCACAACCCACTTACGGCTTACAAGATGGTCTACCCATTGGACTATCTCCAACACCGCCGTGACTGGTCAGCCAAGCTACCCCAATATCCAGCCCCTCAGAATGAATGCCGGGGTCACTAACACGACTCCAGCCAATTCAAGCAGTCTGAACGCGCGGATAGGATCAGCCGCCTCACAGCCTACCAGGGCCCCTTCTCATCTCAAGACCGCCAGATACTAGACAGGCCCATCGGCGAGCTCGTGCAAGATGTCCACAGGACCGTCCTGAAGCCAATTGACATCCTGAAAACCTACGGTAAGGTCGCCCTCAAGGCTCATGGGCGCACAAACTGCCTCACGGAGATCATGATCTCAGACGCCGAGAAGTGGGTTGAGGACGGCTCGATCAACATGAAGGGGCCCCTGGCCGGCATCCCCGTCAGCCTCAAGGACACCATCGTGGTGGGCGGCTACGACACCACCGTCGGCTTCAGCAGCTTCGTGGGGAACAAGACGCCGCTGGACGGCCCCGTGGTGCGGCTGCTGAAGGACGCCGGCGCGGTGCCGTACGTCAAGACGAATCTGCCCATCACCCTCCTCAGCTTCGAGTCCACCAACGACGTCTGGGGCCGGTGCAAGAACCCGCACAACACAAAGTACTCCCCGGGAGGCTCGACGGGCGGCGAGAGCGCGCTGCTGGCGATGGGCGGACGCATCGGCATCGGCAGCGACGTCGCCGGCAGCGTGCGCGCCCCCGCGCACTTCTCCGGCTGCTACAGTCTCCGCTGCTCGACGGGCCGCTGGCCGAAGCTGGGCTTCTGCACGAGCATGCCCGGCCAGGAGGGCGTGCCCTCGGTGTACAGCCCCATGACGCGGACCCTCGACGACCTGCGGTACTTCACCCGCGCCGTCGTCGGCATGGAGCCGTGGAAATACGACTACAGCGTGCACTCCTTGGCGTGGCGGGACGACGTCGAGCAGGAGTACCTCGAGAAGCCCAGGCTGCGCGTGGGCGTCATGCGCACCGACGGCGTGGTCGACCCCAGCCCGGCGTGCCGCCGCGCGCTCGAGATGGTCGAGGTCGCGCTGCGGAAGGACGGTCACGAGATCGTCGAGATCAGCCCGCCGTCGCCGTACGAGGCGCTCAAGACGGCGGCGCTGGCGCTCAACGCCGACGGGTGCAAAATGTTCGACTCCTTCTTCCGCGCCGGCGAGTGGAACGACCCCGGCGCCGCGCAGATGAAGTTCCTCATGAACCTGCCCGGCCCGCTGCGGTACGCGTACTACCTGTGGGTGAAGTACGTCCGCCGGGACGCCATGTGGGCGGACCTGATCCGCGACTGGCGCCCGCAGACGGCGTTTGAGAACTGGAAGCTCGTCGCGCGGAGGGAGGCGCACCGGCTGAACTGGTTCAACTGGTGGAACAAGGTCGAGGTCGACTTCCTCATCACCCCGCCCAACGCGACGCCCGCCGTGCCGCATGATGGTATGAAGGATGCCTGCAGCAGCTGCGGGTACACTTTCCTCTTCAACCTGGTGAGTCTTGCATGGGCTGTGTTGAATTGCAGTATTCCACTAACGGAGTGCGTAGCTCGATTACACCGCCGGCGTCATCCCCGTGACCCACGTAGACAAGGACCTGGACCAGCTTCCCGCGGACTTCAACATCAAAAAGCTCAACGGCATCGCCCAGGGCGCGTATAAGCTGTACAACGCCAAGGATATGCACGGTCTCCCCGTTGGAGTTCAGGTCGTCGGCAGGAGGTTGGAGGAGGAGAAAGTTCTTTCCATCATGAAGAGGGTCGAGGATGCTTTGGGAGATGACAAGTACAAGCTGCTTGAGATCGACTAGGTCCGGAGAGGAGCTCTCTGTGTAGGCCTTGCCAGGGATTCTTGCGTCAGCTACGTAGCTATTGTGGATTGAAAAGGACATCAATGACACCCCGACGTTTGGCCGATTTCGCGACGGATATTTAATGCAAAACGCCCCATTGGAGGCCGCTTATTCCAAGCTGAAGATCGTATTTTCCGGATATAAGATGCCAATTGATTGACTTTCGGGTAGTCCTTGCCGTGTAAGTGGTTTGGAGATGCGGGGCTGCGGCCGCTGAGGCTGGTCCGAGATCGGACTGCGGGGTGCCATCCACTCTGACTTCACCTCGTTTGACGCGCGCTGGTGTAAGTCCTTCAAGACGAGTACTTAAGGAGCTAGGATTCCATGGTCGATAATCCTCGAGCCAAGCAGTTTTATTTTCAATCAGCACCAGACCCAAGACCACATCATGGCCGCACAAAAGGAAGACAAGTGGACGACGGAGGTGAGCTCTCTATCCGACCCAGCATCCAAGCACATGCGATGAACCGCTGACTTACACGTCGCAGGCGTACCAACACTCTGCCTCGTTCGTCCCAAAGCTCGCGACCAAGGTCGTCGGATGGCTCGACGTCCAGAAGGACGATGTAATCCTCGACATTGGCTGCGGTGGTGAGTCCCTCCTCTCTCTCTCTCCAATCTCATCAAACCCACATATACTAACAAACCGTCAGACGGCATCCTCGACGTCGAGTTCGGCAAGATCCTGTCTCAAGGCAGCGGCTCGCTTCACGGAATCGACGCCTCGCCCTCCATGATCACCGCCGCCAAGAAACTCGTCGCGGACGCCGGCCTGTCCAACTGCAAGTTCGAAGGTACCTTTCACCCGCCTCCAAAAACCCACCCACCTACTAACACACCCCAAGTCCTCGACGCGACCAAGATCGCAACCTCATCCACCCCCGCCCTCCAAACCCCAACCTTCACAAAAGCCTTCTCCAACGCCGCGCTGCACTGGATCCTCCGCCCGCCCGGCGCCCAGATCCCCGTCTTCACCGCCGTCCGCGACGCCCTCCTCCCCGGCGCGCCGCTCGTCCTCGAGATGGGCGGCCTCGGCTGCGTCTGCGAGATGCGCACCGCGCTGCTGATGGCCGTCTCGCGGCGCGTGGGCATCGACAAGGCGAAGGAGGTCGATCCCTGGTTCTTCCCCGACGAGGCGTGGCTGACGAATGCCCTTGAGAACGAGGTGGGCGGGTGGAAGGTGGAGAAGATCGAGCGCGAGTGGCGGCCGACGATCGCGGACAGGGGCGGCGTGGAGGGGTGGTGCCGGCTGATGGGCAAGGAGCTGCTGGACGCGGTGGAGGATGGGGAGGAGAGGGAGAAGTGCGTGAGGGAGGTGGCGGATGTTTTGGAGCATGTGTGTGCTGTGCCGGGCGGGGGGCATATGATTAGTTATGTGAGGTTGAGGTGTGTTGCGAGGAAGATTTAGAGACCGTTTGCGGAGATGTTGTGACGAGACACAAGGCGTCTTTTTGCAGTTTGAATTGAGGTCATGAGTGGTCATAGACCGGAGATAGATCAGGGTACTACTGTCTTTGTGCAAGTCGTTCGAATTGGCCAGGATAAGTCTGTACACATGTAAAAGTTTCCCACAGACTTTTGAGCCATAGGTCCCCTCGAAACATTCGGTTTACAAGCTATTTTGAGGTGTGCATGTGCTTATTTGGTTTTCTACTTCGGCTTATTCAGTTGTAATGGTGTATCGGAGGCAATGGTCAGGCCAGTCGTTCCTAGAAAAATCCATATCTCAGTTGCTAGGGGGTTGTGGTCGTCAAATTGGGCCCTCTGCTAGGTTACTCAGAGGTTCCAGTAGTAAATCTTTTGGTGCCCTGAGTACATATGCGTTTTGCCAGTCTAGAAAGCGTGCCAGCTCTGCCCGAGAGCCTCCTTGGTGTGGAACTCGTTGCGAACAGGAACGTCTTGCGGATTGTTAACGTCGACGCCGGCGCCATGCCGCAAGTCATGGGGTTTGAAGCGCTCTTTCAACCCGGCGGCGGCGGTGAATTTTTTGATAGCCCATGAAGTTGATCCTCTGGTCGATGGTTTATCTAGCTGTACCTCACACGACGTCGAAAACTGCGGGAATACTGGTCTCAGAGGATGGACCCAATCGACTAATGGTACTGTCTTAGGAAGAGTCTTGGTGCATGGTTCGTCGAAGGTTTTTGCGTCGACCGCCCCGAATCTAATAGCCATGACAACTAGACAGTTCAATGGGCAGAGGTACGGGACGGTGCAAGTTTTAAGCGTGATGACTCGCTTCCTGTCATCGGATCGACTCTCTCCGTACAAAAGAGTTAGCTCTCGGGACGATGACGGCGGACGATGACGGCGGACGATGACGGAGGACGATGACGAAGGACGATGACGAAGGACGATGACGAAGGACGATGACGGAGGACGATGACGAAGGACGATGACGAGGGACAATCAAGAATGTGATGAAGGCCGTTCCTTCGCCTTCGGTTACTCGGAAGCATCCCGCTCGACCGGTTTTCCCGCAATCCACGACAAAAGAGGCTCGCCGTTTCGACATCTTCAGCGATGCGACGTATCGCTCTGTCTTCGCCGAGGATGACCGCATTTCAATCGACGCTCAAATCGGTACTCACTGGCAGAAAGGCAGAAAGTAAGTCCTCCTACTTCACCGCGGTCGATTTCGACGTTGCTTCTCTATCCAAAGCCGTCAGCATGGGAATAAATTTTTGAAGAAGTTCATGAAACCCACAGAAACCAAGCAAGGATTAAATAATGATTGTAGAACTTGATGTTTGTATGTAACTTTGAGGAATAGAGACATGTTGAGGAAGTTTCGAGCCCACCCAGTAGGGGTTTCCACAGTACGGAAAAAGGAGTAAAAGCACCTCGGTCAGTGCCCAGTCCAGTAGCTGAGGAATAGAGACATAACGTTACCCATGCTGCCTCGTTGCTCATATCGGTATCATAGTTCAGCAAGAACATGTCGCTCTTTCGGCGAGACGAGACAGATGGCACCTTTATGTTCTAGGAGGGTAAACCGACCCGCTGGTTTGAAGTCTTCAAGAGAGCGACCATTTGGAGACATCACAAGAGTTGCAGAGCAAGGAAAAATGCCAAAGGGTTTCCTCCGCTTCTCCAAGAAAGTATGTCTCATTTAATATTAGTGATGATTCTTGGCAATCATACAAGTTTGCATCTCGTTGAGATAGTAACCCGTTGGTGTCCTTCATCTATCGCTTCCTGCGTCCGTCTATATAGCCCACATACTCGCAAACGATAGCAAGGGCGAGGCAGCTTAGCAGCGCGATCTTCATGTTCTCATTGCCAAGGGGCATGCGAGGATTCCCCAACTGTCTAGATAGGATTAAGGAGAATTCAAGCATTCCCGCTGACGCATATCACTGACTGGCTATCGCGTTTTATACCTTAGGTTATCGACCAGGAAACGAACACCCTCCTCGAGAACACACGCCTTCGCGTGTTGGCGGAGCGTCGCAGACCACTCAATACGAGAAGTCTTGTCCACCGTCCTCATTTCTATAAGTTCTGAACGCAACGCATGTTTTCTTGTAAGCGCCAAAATATATTCGTTCGTCTCAAACCAGTTATTGGTACAAAATGCATTGCGATGGTTGTAGCTGACGAAAGGTATGTCAACAAGCCTCACTGCAAGCCCGTGCAGCCCAGGGGCCTTGTTCTCGTCCGTCAGCATTTCTTCTTAGCATGTATCGGATTGAATAAGCAGACGAAAAGATCTAATAGACTTCTTGTAAATGCTATTATGATCGTTTTTTACTTCGAAGGAGCAGCAAACTATCATTTAGCCACTAGCATGCTCTACTAGAAATGATACCTTGAGAGAAGATTTAATATCATTCACAGGTCCTACAGTCCTTTACCATCATACGCTTTAAACACAAACCAAACCCATCAGAGGCGTAGGCTATGTTCTACTGACAAGAGAACGCTGGCAAAGTGCCAAAATCCCAATCCCAAGATATTCAGGTATAAAAGACAGGAGGAAGCATTGCTATGTATTAGACTTGGCAAATCTCCGCGGGGAGTCGTGTGACAATAAGCTGTACAGAACACGCGCAAGTCACTAGGTGCTTCCTGAAGTAGCCTGCACAGAAGAATCTCACCGCTTTCAAAGGTGTCGTCTGTGCTAGTCTCGTTATTGTTTCTCCCCTCGTCTTTGTTGATCATCATTGTTCCCCATTCATTGCGTAACTGTTCGCGCGTATTCCATTGCATAAAGTGCGATGCCTAAGCTTCTCCCACGCTGCATCCTATGTTAGAAATTGCATACCTTGCCGGACTTTCACGTTCCGCTCTTTCATCAAATTTAGTCAGACACCAGATAGCCATAATACAGTGCTTGCTGCGCTTCAACATACACAACATCACAGTAGTATCTTATACCTATTTTATAATTACATCTTACTATGCATAGGGCCTTTACCTCTTTTAAAGATCTTTCCCTGCACAGCTAGAAAGAGGCATACAGCAGTAGAAGAGTAGTAGAGCGCCTCTTGATGAACATCTCAGGGCAGAGTTAGGACTCCAGAGTAGATAGGAAGATGTTTAAACCCCCTCAAGCACCTAGTGAAACACCCTTTCACAGACCTCTGCTTTACTATCCTCCCTCATCACTACTCCGCGCACACGTATTCACAGCCTCAGACGCAAGGGATAAGCTTGTAATGCATCCAACCTACTTTCAAAACCTATCTTTCACATTTCCAGCAGTCCCTTAGAAGGATGTTTATTGATAGGATAAGCATTATGCACACTTACAGCATTATCCCCTTCTCTATTTCTACTATTTAGAAAACATTCCTAAGGAATAGCAGAGCTACTTAAAGAAATCTAGCATTCTCTTAATAAAGCCCTTTCATATATAAAAACAAAGCTGCAGAGGAGTAAGGGCATCACTTTAACCCAGCCCCCTAATAACCGCTACAGACATCTCCTCACGCAGAAGCCATCAGACATTATGTACTTAAAGCCAGCATCTTCACACATTGCTTCCTTTCTTTCTAGGCCACAATGCATCTAACTCATAGTCCTCTGGCCAAATTTCCAGACTTTTTGTTGCGCCGAACAGCAGATGAAATGGGAATTGCGCTTATAGCGGTCACAAACCTAAGAGTGGCGAAGCTGCGGTGTGACAGAACGACCAGCACTTAACCGATCATCTTTCACACTCCACACTCCACACTCCGTCATCTTCCAGCGCGCTCATCCTTTCTGTTTAAAAGTCCCAAATACTCCACCAGAGACAAAAGCCTCCAATCTTCACGTCCAAGGCACCTGCTTCATCACACTTTCTTTGACATCCACTATGGAAGCCAGTTTCAGGAATGCATACTTAAAGTTGACATCTTCACACTGATTCCTTTCTCTCTGAACCACAATGTGCTTACGTCTTGTTCACGCCAGAATTGACGGAGCGTATTTTCTTGGCACCTATGCGCAACGGACAACCACTTACTCTACTAAGCAAATAGCAAGTATGATGGGAGAGGCCCTTCAAACTGCACACGCACTCACCATCCGCGGAATCCCCTATCCGTGAAGTAATCAGACCCTCAAATACCCCAAACACAGAACACCTCCAACCTCAAGCCAAACCCATCTCACCATGCTAGCGTCATCAACCACCCACCTGCCCGCCAACCATCAACGCAGACATTTCAATCATCGAAGAACTCCACAGTCAAATTGTACCACCTTCAAAATCTCCAGAAGAGCCCTCTTATGTACTCACACTGTGTCTCACCAAGTCCTGAACCTGGGTGCTGAGTCGCCAGTCCCGACAGTCCGGAACACACCCAAACCGGCCCCACTCTCGGCCCGCCGATGACTTGCATCCCGTTCTTTCTGCCCACCCACCGGCCCGCGTACGGCACAGACGTCTTCCGGAGAAATACCAAACCTTATTCTGGGCATCCCCTATCCAGACTTTCCTACTCCCAGTTCCGATATCGAGACACCCCTAATTAAGCTTCTAAATCTCACCCAGATCAACCTCATCGGCATCGGATAACACGCAAACTCTAGATTAGCATGAATCTTGAACTCCTTAAGCCTCACGTACTGCATGTGGGGGCACACCTTCAACATACGTCGTTTGCAAAATATTAACATCATCAATTGAATGAGGCCCATGCTCGTAAGCAGAGGGCGGCAGAAGATCATCACTGCTAGCCAAAAGGCCCATCCCAAAATGAACGCCCGGTGCCATGTTTAAATCCCACCGTCTATGCCGCCGGCTCCCGAAAGGAAAAGCAAAATCGAAAAGGCGAGATATGATGTATAAACCCTTACCCACTCCCCCCCCCCCCGGATCCCGGAATCCCGATATTATTTTGCACCAAATCCCGTTCATCGAAAGAGAGAGAGAGAGAGAGAGAGAGAGAGAGGGGGGGGCGGGACAAAAAAGGTCTTTCTTCCGTTACGCCGATCGAAATGCCAAGATGCAACATGACCTGTCGCGCGATCCGGTTCTTGCTGTGCTGCTCCGTGTGTTATTGTTTTATGTACAAATCTGCTGTTGCCTGGATGAAGGGAAATCTTCCCCGCTGAAAATATGAGGTGAATTGAGACTTGGAACCTGAGCGCCTCGCTGTACTCGTTCGCCCGAGTCGGGCCGTAATGGAGAGGATGCTGAAAAGCTCTACGATCTTCGCTTCTTTTCTTCCTTTTCCAACTTTTCGACATTCTCTTCTGTGAGAGAGTCACCCGTGTCGCCCGCAATGACCGTCTGGAATGACGCACCGCGTCGCTCAAGCTTCTTCCCACCAGCGGCATCCATCAACTTGCCGGCCTGGGCTTGCAAAGCGAGCTCGTCCGTCTCTGATCGGCGGATCGGTTTGGAGTTCACACCTGGTGAGTCAAATTGTGACGGTTCGTAGGAGTTATTCCTCGTCAAAGGCCTTGGTGTGGCCACGTCGCCCCTGTCCTCCTTTTCAGGGTCCCTGTTCTTGTTTTCTGATTCCTTCTTGATGGCATTCAAGGTGTCTGTGGAGTCGCCACCATGATCGTGTTCGACGCCTGGTATGTCTGCATTGCTGCAATGTTCAGCAGTGTCTGAGCAGTCAGACAGAGAACCATCTGAACCCCTCTGAATATTCCCTTGCTGTCGTTTAGCCAAACTCCATCTAACCAACATTCTTTCGAGCGTCTTGCTCTTCACAGGCTTGGAGAGATAGTCA